GAGAATATGACGATAATAGAGAAAATGACGGCCATGGTATCAAAAACATCAGGAATGAGAATACAGTCATAATATTACTATAATATTACAAGAATACGACGATAACTGAGGTGAAATAACAACCATGACATCAAAAACATAAGGAGTGAGAATACAACCATAATATTACTATAATATTACCTTAATATTACTGCAGAGAAAAAATAACAACTCTATTAATAAATACAACCACAAAGAAACATGTGCATATCGTAAACATTGAAATAATAATGCAAAAAAATTGTAATAACAATGAACCGTGCAATTAAATATATTTTCGCATAGACAATACACACAAACAAATTTCATGAGCAAGCTCTGCCCTAAATATTGGCATCTCTGCCTGTCAATCCTGGTCTTCAGTCCAATTACTTCTGTAACTCTTTCCTAATTTTTCCATAAATTTACAAACATCTCATAATCAATACTATTAGTTTGTACTGTAACATTTCTAACTATTGACATTTGCTAGGTCCCGGGTTTAGCCCTAAAAGAATTTCTAATATCTACTGTAAACTTTTTGACTTGCAAAGTTTAATATTGAACAGTGCATGGACTAAACTATTGAAATTGCATGGGTATACTGAAATTGCATTGACTGACAGTATACTTACAATGTCCTTGCACACGCTTTTGTGCATCTGGTTGGGTAATGAGTCATAAATTTTTCACTTCTTATCCTGTAAATCCGCAAGCAACAATACCTAATGTTGGTTGTTCATAATAGGAATCATAATAATATCAGCTCCTTTAACTGCCTCCTTCGTGATATGACCCACAAATCTTGCGGTGTTACCGATTTTATGATAACCCTGCATAAGATTACAAACTTATAAAATATTCATAAAGTTATTTAAATTTTAAATATACTTAATCAATGATTACCAAGTATAATGTTGATACATAAATATAAGACCTGAGAAAGGATGGAGAAACATTTCTCTTTCTTTTTAAAATCATGGCTTGGGCATCAACATGATCATTTGCAATCATGCCATTGCACAGTAACTCTACCATTGCCCTGCGATCAATAAAAATCTCTCTATTGTATAACATAATATCATCTCTGTAGAGTAGCACAAAATATATGTGAGCCTTTCATCTAAGACGAAAGAAATTCATTATAAAAGATGAAGATTACTCACATATTCATGTATTTTAACATAATTTGATCAATCACTAGCTGCGTTTCAGATGATACCATAGATCTGCTAGAATAATTTATTTGGGAGTTCGCTGGAAGAGACTAAAAAAATAAAATATTTTGTAAAACATTTGAAATACATATGTATTTTATATGATATAAACAATGTATAAAAAACTTCTTCCAAAAAGCACATTGACAACACCGAGCTGAGCTCCTAAAGTTGTTAGTGTCAAGACTACTGATCCTTCTATTTTTTCCTCTTCAATTCTTTGTTGTTCCTTCTTTGCAATGGGGGTTGTTAGTGTCAGGACTACTGATCCTTCTACTTTTTCCTCTTCAATTATTTGTTGTTCCTCCTCTGTAATGGGGGTGTTAGTGTCAGTACTAATGCTCCTTCTACTTCTTTGTCTACAATTAGGTCTTCAATGTTGCCCTCCCCGGCATTCGTATGTACAACAACATCTTCATCAGGCAACATAGGCTCATCGACTTCTCTTATTACTTTTCTTCTCTTGAAATCAAAATCAGTGAAAGGAGAACTCAGTTTCTTCTTTCTTCTACTTCGTCTGCCCTTAACTCTTTGTATTAAGCTCGGAACGGACCGTTTATGGGAGCCTTCAACAGTGTCTCCTTCAACTGGGAAGGTTTGTTGGGTTCCCTCTTCTCCCACAAAAGCTGACTGCTAGGTTCCCTCCTCTCCCACATGAGACAACTCCTGTGCTCCCTCTTCTCCCACATAAGACGATAGCTGGGCTCCCTCAGTGTTCTCCTGAGCTCCCTCTCCTCTCACAGGAGACAACTGTTGTGCTCCCTGTTCTCCCACGGGAGACGATTGTCAGGCTTCCTTATACAGCATCATGAGGACTGTCAAAATGAGGGGAGACTGTCTGTGCATCATCTACTCCCACCTCTTCGCCTTTATTAGTTGAAATATTTTTAGATTTATCAAACTTATTTTGTAGCATTGATATTTGCCCCTGCAAACTCGACACTCCAACAGTTATCGTATTCAGGGTCCCCTGAAATTCAGTGAACTATTTCTCTTGCCCATTTAGCAGATCAATTATTGATTCCATGTTTTTATTCATTGTCGTGTACATTGTCTCCGGGGCAATGTCACTTGAAACAACTTGCCCAATATCAAATGATACAATTGCCTCAGGTCTGCCTTGGAATTCCAGTACTGGAACTGGACTGGGTAATCCTACATCTAGATTTGAGTGCAGATTGAGCTCATCCTCTTTCAGATACAAAAATTGAACATGAACCTGCAATTTATTTTAAAAAAAATACGCTTTAATCATTAAAAATCTCAAATAAACATAAGCTTTTATTTTTTAATAACAACTAAATGTAACTTGCCTGTTCAGTATTCAGCTTCTTAAAGGCTATATCAATCTATGATGCATTCCAGCTTACAGTTGTTGGCCACCTCAACATTCAAGGTCTGGCCTCAGGAGTGGCAGGAGTAACCAAAAAAGTATGCTCATAAAACCACAACTGTGTAAAATAAAAGTCATATTCAACTCTGCACAAAGAAATTAATATTTATTGACGTTTATACGAGATACTAATAATTAGCAAAAAAAGAAAAAAACATTTATATATCCCAAAGGTCGGTTCCACCTTATTTTAATGACTACTGCATTAATTTGCTCCATAAGAAATTCACTGAGCGCAACAGACCAATTAAATGAAGAAAAGGTATGTACATTCTCACCAAAGGTGTAAAGTCCTTTGGATATACTGAAATTGCTGGAAGGAAAGAATAAATTTGATAACAAATAATTTATACACATTTGATTAAAAAGGGTAGAAGTCTCCCCGGTTCCAAAGTTCAAAATATTATCCCTCATTTGGCGGGCATCCACACCGCATGATGAAACTTTCTTCCACTCCACTTTGACACTTCTCCTCTATTTGACATGCCGATCAAAAAGGCAACTTCATCAGGATTTATTCTCAGATCTATCCCACCCATTTTGAAAACCATTCTTTCATGTTGCCAACATTACAATATTTGTAATGTCATGACATTGTCTTAGAGATAAGGTAGAATAACAAAAAACTGATCAACATTCATCATTTTGAGTTCATTCCTGATGTCTTTAGATAGGGCAGACTGACTTTATCGAGCACATCTCTTACTACGGACGACCGACATGTACAACTCATAGACATTGGGTTCACAAACCTACATAAATCAAAATATTGCAAAAAAAATATTAGGTATATTCAAACCTGCATAAATAAAAAAAAAAAAAATGCAAAAAAATATTAGGTATATTCAGGTAGTATAAATGGAATTATTATAAAAAAAATATTAGATATATTCAGGTAGTATAAGTGGAATTATTATAGTAATATTTAGATATTATTCTGGTATTATTTCGAGTGTATTATTTATGTATTATTCTGGTATTATTTCGGGTGTATTATTTAGGTATTATTCTGATATTATTTCAGTATTATTTTGATACTATTTTAGTTGTATAAATGAAATTTAAGTTTTATTCAATCTTCAGGTATTACTTGGGTAATATTTTGATAATATTAGGGGTAATATTTTGATAATAGGGTAATATTTTGATAATATTAGGTAGTGTTAAGTAGTGTTAGTTTGTTCTTATTTAGGTAATATTCAGGTGATATTGTTACTCAATAACAGCGTGAGTTAAAATACTACTTAAATACTACTAAAATATTACCCCAAAAACAGTAACTCTGAACTAAATACCTGAGTGATTTGTTACTCATATACTACTAAAATATTACTCCAATACTAGGTAGTGTTAAATAGTGTTAGTTTGGTCTTATTTAGGTAATATTCAGGTGATATTGTTACTCAATAACAACGAGTTAAAATACTACTCAAGTATTACTCAAATATTACTAAAATACTACTAAAATATTACCAAAAAACAGTCACTCTGAACTAAATACCTGAGTGATTTGTTACTCATATACTATTAAAATATTACTCCAATAATCTATGGATGAATTTCTACACTGTTAACAATTTTGTCACTGAAAATAACAAAATAAAATTTGCCTGGATGAACCCTCTTGAATTTCCTTCTTCTTACGCTCTTTTTCTTCTTTTTTCTTAGGTTTATCAGTTTAAATTGTCGATTCCTCTTCGTTCTCCATTATCAACGGCTCTTCTGTCTCCATTCTCACAGGGCTATTTTCGGTTTCCGTCTGCCTGAGCTCGTATTCCATCTTCCTAAGGAGAAAGCGCGATTTTCATTCGATCGACGAACAACAAAAATCCTAGATTGTCAAATGAATGAAGGTGCTCTGCGGGCTCGGGTAACGTTTAGCTTTCTGATGATCTGACCTTTTTTCTGAGACGCGCGAGTTAATTTTTCGTTGCTTCAAGCCGGGCTCGGGCCGGGTCACGCTGTAAGAAAATAAGAATTTCATATTTTTTAATTATGAGATTCACATTTTCACATGTCACATTTTTATTGGACACCGCACCTATCCCCACTGAATAAAGGCTCCTAAATTGCAAACAACACCCTTCGTGTAATTTTGTTTGGTAAATGCCTGAATCGTGCGAGGTGCATGTTGACACGTGCCGTCTATTTCGCCTCCGCAAATGACCGCCATCAACTTAAAATCAAATAATTTTCCCGTCCCAGAAATAACATAAATGAGGTCTAGAAACATTTTTCCCTCCATTTTGTTTGCCTCCTTCCTCTGCACGGAACGCACTAAAACCCTAGCGAGAGAGAGAGAGAGAGAGAGAGAGAGAGAGAGAGAGAGAGAGAGAGAGAGAGAGAGAGAGAGAGAGAGAGAGAGAGAGAGAGAGAGAGAGAGAGAGAGAGAGAGAGAGAGAGTTCTCTACTGGATTAGATCATTATCCACTGATCCATCGAACTAGGTTTTTCTCGTATTCCCTGCTTCGTTAAGAAATGCTCCGAGATCGTGGTGGTGCTGTGAAGTCGAGCAGCCCAAAGAAGATCTTTACCGACGTCCGCTTCGTGCTTTTTGGATTTGACTCCGTTTCCGAGGCCCAGGTATTTCTAAGGTCCACCTTTCCCTCTTATGCTTCCCGTTTTCGGATTTAGAGGTGATGTTAGTGAGTCCCAGCATCAATCCATTTGGCTGACCGGACTTGTTTTTTGTTTTTTATTTCTTTCAAAATCAGCGTGGTTTTGAAAAGAAAATGCAAAATTAATCTTTCCATCCAAAGTGAGTTAGTTGATCGAGAGGTTACTAGTAGTTCTGATTGAGTTTATATATGAATTGGGTTGTTGGTATTGGAAATTATAACGTTGATGTGTTTATATATGGCTCGTGTTATTCAACGGTTGTTTGAAAATTGAAATGATGAAGTGACTTGTTGATTCTATCACCCCCTATAATTCCTCATTTTTCTATAAATAGGCCGCCATGGTTATTGATTTTTGCTTCTTTTCATGCTTATTTGCTTTCAAGCATTCACTCTCATAATACTGCTCTTTCACTTTTATTTGATGCCTTTGGCTAGTTTGAAATGGCCACTGCTTTATTAAAAGGTCTTTATGAATTAAAGAATTTTGAGCTCAGTGGTTATGAGTTTCCCGAGAAAGGAACAGAGTGTAATTGAATTTTAGAGTATTTAAAATACATTAGAGCTATTTGATTTGCTGTAAAATAAGTACATGAGTTGATATTTTTATGTTTGGTTTGAAAAAAAAAATGAAAACAACGTATAGCGCAATCTGCGATGATGGCAATAGGCACCGACGGTGACAGTGGCGGGCACCCGCGATTGAGGGATGCTGGTTGACAAGAGACCATGACAGAAGCGTGGCAATGGCGGGTTGCAGTTTACAATGCATCAGGAAATCACTTAAAATTAATGAATTCGAAATACATCACTTTTGAAATGCAGTGTAAAGTTCAAACCCTCCAAATTTTTACATAAAATTCCGTTCTCATCGAACAAAATGTTGAAATTCTGAAAATCCCTGCATTTGATTTAGACCTCAAATTTGTCAAACCAAGCAACCCCTCAATCTTCTTCCATTACATCTTTTACAATAAAGTTTTTTGAGCATTTATATGATAAAAAGGATGAAAATTGACTTAACTTTTGAACTTCTCTTGTGCCCAGATATCATTAGTAGTCCTTAATATTTATGGCATTATTTTGGTTCAAATAATGCTAAATTCATTTGCCTTTTTTTTGCATCAATTTTATGCATGTTGAAGCCTTCTTTTCTCCATGCATTTGATCAATATTAAACATTTCAAAGGGGGTTGCATTTTTATTTCATTTACTCATGTGAGGATGGTTGGTCTTAAGACAAAGATAATATTGAAAGTTAAAATACTTATTTATGAAGTTAGTCAAAGATGGCATATTAAGACCGTATCAAGTTGCTTTTCGAAGGAAAACTTTCATGTTCAAATACTTATTTTAAATTCTTTTTTTCCTTCTATGTTAAAATAAATAAAATAAAGGTGTATATATATATAGTTGCATCAACATCTCTCAATTTTTGGATGAAGAGGAGGGAAGAGTGTAAGTTTTTTGTTCCACAAACCTCAAGAATGGGACATCGAAAAAGAAAGTTATGCTGATTGATTTGCCTTCAACAACTCTCCGTCATCCATCACGAATCTCGAGACATGACATCGATCTCGAGGTGACTTTCTGAGCAAGAAATATTTAAATATATATAAAAACTCATCAAGAACTCCGATTTCAGCAAACTTACAGTCAAACTGATCAGCTTGACTAGAAGAACCCAATGTTATCAAATTTGTCAAATTCGTGTCAAATCAAGCTCAGATCAAGTCATTAAACCACTCTTGGAAGTTTTTCAGACATATTTAGAAAGTTAAATGAATGTCGAACCTAGCATGCTTATAATCTATTAGAGCATATCGACAAGACGAATCCAACGAGCTCAAGCTTGCTCAATTTCAATTTCGTTTAAGCACTCAAATGTTCATCAAACGCCGTCTAATCGAAAGAAGCCCTCCGGACCGTCCGATCCATGTGATTCATATTTCTGCATTCATTGTTACCGGAACGTAATAGAGCTCCACCGTTCTCATGAGAGGGGGCTGTAAGCTTGAGAGAGAACTTAAAGCTTTGAGAAGGAACTAAAGTCCAACGCCACCACTGTCAATGTCGGTTGCTGTCGGCCGCCGTCGACCACCCCCGCTCGCTGGGGATTGACTGCCGATTTCCATTGACCACAGTTGATCGCTGTCAACAACCATCGATCGCCGGTGAGCACTACAATCGCCATCGACCACCACTGACCGTTGTCTACCGTTGACCACCATCGATTACTGCCAATCTCCGTCAACCACCACCAATTGGAAGCCGTTAGTAGACGTAACTTGAAAAATTTGGTAATACTTTCTCGTCTGTGGGACAATGAGTTTCTGTATCATCAACTTATAGTGAATTTTTACATCTGGGCTAACCTCGTTATTTTTTCTCTTTACGAGTTTTCCACATGAAAAATTTTTGGTGTTATTACTTGTTGTTTTCTTTTACCTGAGCTTGTGTTAAATTCTCGTGCAACGCTATGACGATATTCCAATAGTCTACCGCTGTGAATTTTCTAACGCGCATCAGTTTGACGCTATTTTTAAGAAATAAAGCATTCCCATCACTAAAATAGTTTTAAGAATTGTTGCATGACCACCAAGCGCAACTCTTGTAATAACAGAGTATCTCGCTTTGACACCTATCATTTAAGAAGACAGTGATGAAACCGAGGTTTGACAAGCATGCATGTTTTATCAGTTTGACGCCGTTTTTGGGAAATAGAGAATTTCCATCCTTAAAATAGTTGTAAGAATTGTTGCATGACCACCAAACGCAACTCTTGCAGCAACAGAGCATTCCACTCCAACACCTATCATTTCAGAAGACAATGACGAAACCAATGTCATCAAGTCTCTGCTTCTTCCTACTCCATAAGGCATTATCCCGCTGACGAAGGTGTCTTGGGTCATTCTCTGGAAGATCGAGTTTGTAGGATGGATGAGTCTCAACATGAGATCCTTCGTCTCCTACGCGGGGAGCGACAACCGCAACTCAATGGAACTCACTTACCACCAGTTCAACTTTCAACGGGAAATACCCCACTCACCAGATTTTTTCTTAATGATGAAATCATTCTTCTACCGAGACGAAACCGACTTTCTCGACATTACAAGTTTCGTCTGTCTCATGTAATTCACCTAGCACCGCCCCGCCTTACTGTCGCTTTTGTTCATATTATCCGAGATGAACTACGACGCATGGTTCGGGAATGTTCCCTCTGGATAAAATGGTTCGCTTCCCAACTCACCACAACTACCAAGAATCCTCTTCTTTGGCTGATGCGGTTCTTCAACACCCCATCCCAACAGGTTTAAACTCCTAAACATTGATGTCTATGAAGGTGTAACTGATCCGTACGAGCACGTTGACCACTTTCAAACTTTCGTGCACATTCACCTTGCCTCTGATACGCTTCTCTGTGAAGTGTTCCCAACGACTTTCAAGGGCCAAGCTCGCACATTGTTCTACCTCTTCCGGGTGACACCATCAACACTTTCAATGAGTTTGCCAGATTTTTAGTAGAGTAGTTCATAGTAAATAGAAGGATCATCAAAGATTCATCTCACTTAGCAGGAATTCGTCAGAATGAGGGGGAACCCCTTGAGGAATATTTTCACAGGTTTTCAATTGAAACCCGCCAGATTCCTGGAATGGATCCGGAGTTACTGAGAGGAGTCTTTCTTGGAGGGTTCTACCCATAACCTTTTTATTTATCACTGATGCGAGAGATTGTGCGCTCTTACGTTGATCTCATCCATTGTGTCGAAGCTCAAATTTTTGCAGATGAAGCCATCATTGCTCAAGGAGCAATTTGAGCTATTGGGGAGCAAGTGCAATAATAACATTGGGGATACCAATCAAATCTCATAGTGAACAAGTTCGGACCGCAGGGGAATCGTGAGCCACAATTAGAAAAAAAATACATGCCACTCCACACATCACATGTTAACATCCCAGTGACCATCAATGATGAAGAGACTGTCAAGTAGCCATGACCGTTAAGAAATTCAGATGGTGGATACCGGTCTCAATATTGACATTTCCATCGTGCAAAGCATCATTCGACAGAAAGATGTTTTCAATTAATTGAGAAAATTGAACGTTTGATACACCAATGTCATCTGGGTCGTTATTTACAAGAAAAAAAGTGAGAGAAACCAGAAGAGAATTGTCAGAGTTATCAAATGAAAAGTGCAACTCCAAATTATTTTATTTGAATTAAAGACGGCTTATAAATTCCTAACTTTATTTCAGTAAAATTTTCATGTTGCTTTAAACTGTCATTTCAGTGAAGTTTTCTCATTTTCTTATGAAAGATTTTTGTGTAGAGAGTTCCCTTGCGGGTAAGCGGTAGACAAGGTTCTCTTCCATGCCCTTGGAGGTCGAGCCCAAGAGGCAAGACTCAATGGGAAGATACAGTACTCTTGGAAGTCGAGCCCAAGGGGCAAGACTGGATGAGAAGCTACCCTGTCCTTGGAAGTCGAGCCCACGTGGCAAGACTGGATGGAAAAATATGATACTCCTAGAAGTCAAGCCCAAGAGGCAAGCCTCAATGAGAATCTACAATGCCCCTGGAAGTCGAGCCGAAAAGGCAAGACTTGATGGGAAGATACTGTATTCTTAGAAGTCGAGCTCAATAAACGAGACTCAATAAGAAATTATGCCCACGGAAGACGAGCCCCAAGAGACAATTCTCGATGGGAAGCCAATAGTGGGCATGACCCTTACTAGAAAGACTCCATAAGAGCAAGTTGTTGACAGGGTCTCCTCTCAAAGATGTCAAAAGGCTACAATCCTCAAAATACACAGGTACATGAAATGCCTCAGAAGACTAAAAGCCTTAGAAGACACATGAATATCAAAGACCTCAAAAAACTACAAGTCTCAGAAGACACAAGAACATTAAAGACCTCAAAAGACTAAAGTCTCAGAAGACACATATACATTAAAGACCTTAGAAAATCACAAGCCTCAGAAAACAAAAATACAGAAAAAATCTCAAAAGGATACGGGTCTTAGAAGTAGGGCTGTAAACGAGCCGAGCTTGAGCGAGCTCAGGCTTGGCTCGTGTTCGGCTCGTTCGAAATAGCTCGTGTTCGAAATCGGCTCGTGTTCGAAATTGGCTCGTGAACAGTGTGTTCGTGTTCGGCTCGATTTAAATATTTGTGTTCGTGTTCGGCTCGAAATTGGCTCGTTAATCTAAAATTGAGAAAAATAGATGTAATGTGTGGGATTCGAACCTGGATAAAATCTATACAAAAGAAGACACTAACCACATTGCTACATAAGGCGTTATGATTTAAATTTAGACATAAATATATATAATATATTATTATATAAATAATATATGTAATATATTGTTATATAAAAAATTATATATATATATATTTTTTTATCGAGCCATTTCGAGCCGAACACGAGCGAACAAACTGTTGTTCGTGTTCGGCTCGGTTACAATTCAAGCTTAAAAATTTGTTCGCGGTCAGTTCGATAAACTTTACGACTTAACGAGCCGAACACAAGCTGTTCACGAACAACGAGCGAAATTGACAGCCCTACTTAGAAGGCGCCGTTTCATTTCAAGCTTTTATAAGACATAAGCTCGAGAGGGCACAACCTCGGAAGGCGCGAGCTTCAAAAGGTACGTAATTCTTCATTTTATAAAATGTGTGTGCTAACTTTAATTACAGAATTTTGATACGATTGAGAAGTCACAACAATCTTAGAAGTAATGTCAAAGACATACAAAGAAATACATTATCATTTACAAATGTCATATTAGATGACTAAAAAACAATAAAGACCAACAAGAATTGATATAAAGATTACAAGAGATTTCACCACTACAGCAGCATGAAATTCTCCCCTCAAAGTGCGGCGGGAAAAATCTAGTATTTCCTTATCTCCACCGAAATGTGCAGCAACGACAAGCAAGAAGATCCCTATTCACCTGCTAGGCAGGGGCAAATAACTTTCTTCATCTAATTGATATGAAAGAAAATCTCGTTGCTCACTTGCTACGCTGTCGGGAATGACTTTCTGCTGCACCACAACATGAAAGAATATCCCGTTACTTGCCTGCTACGCAGGATGAGGATGACTTTCCGCTGTATTGTAACGAGAAAGAAAATTTTGTTGCTCGCCTGCTATGCAAGACGGGAACGACTTTTTTTATCACCACAACGAGAAAGAAGATCCAATTGCTCGTTTGTTATGCAAAACGATAACGACTTTTCTCTTTGCCGCAACAATGAAGAAAATTCTGTTGCTTGTCTGCTACACAAGACGAGAATAATTTTCCTTTTCATCAAAAATAGTAAGAAGATCCTGTTGCTAGCCTGTTACGCAGGACGAAACGATTTTTCTCTTTGCCACAACACTTTGCTCACATTCTACGCAGGATGAGTACAACTTTTCTCTTCGCCGTAGCCGCCGCAGCGTGAAAAAAAATCTCGTTGCTTGCCTGCTATGCAGGACGAGGACAACTTTCTTTTTTCGGGAAATCCAAGATCACCTACTAAGCAGGGATGGAGATTTCACTTTCTTTCTCCTCTCCTTGACTTTTATTTATAGGCTTAAGATGAGCCATAACATTAAAAACAATTGAACTAAAAAAAAAAAAAACTTAAATTTGTCATAATTCTCTCGTCGTTTGATCTTTCATCTCATTATTTTCTTTCAGTTATCTTGCCTTTGATATTCTATCTTATATAAAAAATTTAAAAAATTATAAAGTCCGAATTCCTCACTAATTTTATACTTATGAGGCTGTAAAATTTGATAAATGTGTTATATAAAAAAATTGAAATCTGTCATAATTCTCATCTCATTTGACCTTTCGCCTTTCATCATTTGGCTTTCTGACTTCTAGTCTTTGTAATTCCACCTTATAAAATAAAAAAATTAAAAAGTCAGAATTTCTCATTTATTTTTATATTAATACTTATGAGACTAACATTTGATTAATGTGTAAAAAAAAATCTGAAATCAACTTAAATTCTTTTATCATTTGATCTTTCGTCTTTTTTATTCCAAATAATTTTTTTTTTCAAATTCTCACCTACCCAATTTCTTTCAAAATAAAAATACTAAAAGAAAACTGCTATTATATGTATACATACATATATATATATATA